CCGTCTCCGCGTCTGAGGGGTTGACTGTGCCTCGAGCCCCGCGGCTTACTCGGAACCCTGCCGTCCCTCCGACTGCTCTGCATCCGAGGACCTTGGCTCGGACCCCACCCAACGCCCAGGCCCGCCCCATATCGAGAGACCCCTCATCCTGCTCCACATCCGGAGTCTCTGCTTGAGCCCAGCTCTACGCCCCAGACCAGAGTCCTTACTGTTTGGCCACCCAAAGGTGGGGAGTCTGGGCTCAAGCCCCGCCCCTTGCTTCAAGCCCAGCCCCTTCTTGGAGCTCCGCCTTCCTTTAACCACTCGGCTTTGGGGGTTCTCTGCCTCGCGCCTCCTTCTTGACCTACCTATTACAGGTGTGGACCCTGAGAAAGAAGATACCTACTAAGAAGGGCTTCTGGTGGCTAACTGGGCTAAAAAAAACAAAGCCTAGCAGCCACTTCTACACAAGGCCTCTCACCCAAACTACATTCCAGAAAGAAGCCTGTGCTGAACCACCAGCCTGCGATGGGCGCCTGCTTTCTAAGCCCTTATAAAGGAGTTCCTGGGATCTTATTATAACCAATAGGATTAGTCTTTCTCCATCCAATCAGAGCTCTGCAGCTGTGACCAACCACAGTGGCTCTATTCTGACCAATCAGGACAGTGCCTTTTGGACCAAACTGTGAGGAGTTGGCCTCATTTGCATGAGGATAGACCAATCAGGGACCAGGGGTGGGGACTTCTGTTCATATAAGCCAGCTTCCCCTTGGCTGAGAGAGCTCGTTTTTCCTTTCCGTCAGAGCTGCTGCCTGGCCGAGCTGAAACAGGGGTTCCAGGCAGGCCAGCAAGGAGGGGAGCAGAGGTGTCTGGCCAGAGAGGGTCTGGCCCCAGGGCTGCCTCATAGGCTGTGCTGTTTTCACAGCCATGCTATATCACAACTGAGCTGTTTTGCACTGAATAAAGTTTCCTTCTTCACTGCACCCCAATTGGAGATTCCTGTTGCTGTAGATTTGACGCCAATGACCATCAGTTGACACAAACCAAGTCATCGGCGGGGGTGAGCAAGACTGACATGGTACCAGTTCTCAGGAACTTTGAATCAGGAAAGCAGATCACAACCAAACTATTAATTACAAGTCTGGTATTTTTTTGGTTAATAACTTTATTGAGATATAACTCACATACCATAACAATTCATCTATTTAATGTGTGCAAGGCAATGGTTTTTAGTACTGTCACAGAGTTGTGCAACCATCACCACTAACTCCAGAATATTTTTATCATCCCAAGAAGAAACCCTGTAACCATCAGTCACGCCCCCTCCCNNNCCCCTCCCCCTCCCCCAGCCCCTGGCGATCACTAGTTTGCTTTCTGTCTCTATAGATTTGCCTGCTCGAGACATTTCATATCAATGGAATACTTGGCAATAACACGGAATAAACTCTTTTTTATTGATTGATTAATTTGAGAGGGGGGGGGAAACAAAATTGATTTGTTGTTTCACTCATTTATGCATTCATTGGTTGATTCCTGTATATGCCCTGACAGGGCATTGAACCTGCAGACCTTGGCATATCTGGAGCAATGCTCTAACTAACTGAACTAGGAATAGACATTTGTGATTTCCAGGGGTTAAGGACATGAGGACAGGGAGATGGAGAGTGGCTATAAAATGGCAACATGAGGGATCCTGGGGTGATGGAAGTGTTTTGACTCTTGACTGTATTAAAAGCAATAGTGCCCTAGCTTGTTTTGCTCAGTGGTTAGAGCATCAGCTGGTGGACTGAAGGGTCCAGGGTTTGATTCTGGTCGAGGGCACATACCTCAGTTGCAGGCTCAATCCCCAGTCCTGGTCGGGGCATGTGAGGGAGACAACCAATCAATGTGTCTCTCACATCGATGTTTCTCTCTCTCTCCCTTCCACTCTTTCTGAAAAGCAATGGAAAAAATACCCTTGGGTCAGGATTTAAAAAAAAAAATTTTTTTTTAAGTATAGTGCTATTATACTGTAATTTGTAAGACACTACCATTAGGTAACATGGAGGGGGGAAGGGTACATGGGATCTCTCTGTGTTATTTCTTANTTTTAAGTATAGTGCTATTATGCTGTAATTTGTAAGACACTACCATTAAGTAACATGGAGGGGGGAAGGGTACATGGGATCTCTCTGTGTTATTTCTTACAACAATGTGTGATTCTAAAATTATTTCAAATTTTTAAAACTTAACTTTTTAAAAGGCAAAAAAAAAACAACCAAAAAATATTTACTCAGTGTGTTGGGGTGATGTTCTTTTGCCCCTTAATTTAAACAAGCAGCGGCGACTNAACAACCAAAAAACATTTACTCAGTGTGTTGGGGTGATGTTCTTTTGCCCCTTAATTTAAACAAGCAGGGGCGACTTAATTCTTGGACAGAAACCATGGCAAGCCCAGGGTGCCAAGGAAAGCCGTATGGGTGATTTAGTGGATGGCATTCTTCCATTTGTGTCTTTATGACCATATGTAGCCTCAAGGAATGATCTACTGGGTCAGCCAAACACAGTTCTCCAGCCATGTGCTGGCTAAAGTCCAGTGTGGTAATTATGACCTTCCTCCAATTCTCTGCAGTTTTAACTAGATAATGAAGGCCACATGCTTTCTACAAAAGCAGAGCTGTTTTAATTGTTTTCCCTGAATTACATAATATCCCTTTTCTGGTTATTGACTACAAGCACTGTGCTAAATGCTTTACCTGCACAATCTTACCTAGTCCTCACAATAGCCCTGGGAAGTAGACACAGTCAGTTCTCATTACCGGCAGCAGTTCTGTTCTATAAAGTCAGTGCAAACACTGAAGAGCAAACACTGAACCACTGCTCATAGGGGAAATACAGGGTTGGGTTCCTGTGAGCCTCCGGTCACAACATTTTTATCAACTGATCGATACATCACCTTGTTTTATGTGTACGTTTTGTTTAAAGAGACCTTATTTAATATACATCGTGATTCCTTAACATTGACATCACAGCCCTTAGCACTATAACTCATGCCAGAACCAAGCTTATATAATACTCATATCTTCTTTGTAAGGCACATCTCAGCCTACTTGTGCTTAGAAACACTAGACGGCTCTTCAACGCCATGAATGGGGATCATTATAAATGGAAATCACCACCAACAAACACAAAAATGCAAAAGCATAGCATAAAATAAGCCCTGAAAAGGAAAGTTGTTTACAGCCTGGCCTGGAATAAGAATATAGATCATCATCTTGTCCCACTGAAGGTGGGAACGTGCCCTCAAATTGTTTACCCCTCTGGGCTGCCTGCAAATGACCCTGAGAGCACCTTGAATATTGATTTGGGGGTTACAAATAAGTTTCAGCCAGTAAGCAAATTCACAACTAAGGAAAAAACAAATAATGAGGGTCGACTGTACTTGTATTAATCCCCTTTGCAAACCAGGAAAATGAGACTTGAGGAGGTTTAACAATTTCAATGTCTTAATAAACTTTCCTGAGAACTGACTATATTTCAGGCATTCCTCTAGGGCAGGTTTCTCAGCCTCAGCGCCATTGATACTTGGGTCCAGACACTTCTCCATTGTGGAGGGCTGTCCTGTGAATTATAGGGTGTTGAGCAGCATCTCTGGTCTCTAACCGCTCAATGCCAGTATCACTCACATCTCCCAAGTTGTGATAACCAAAAATGTCCCCAGACATTACCAAATGTCCTGGGGGGGGGGAAGCAGAATCGCTTCCCAGTGATATATACTGGTCTAAGAATTAGAGATTCAATAATAACAAACTGCAGCATCTCTGATCTCCTGAAGCTTACATTATGGGGGACTGCAGAATGGGATGGGGAGTTAGTATTTAACGGGGCAGAGGTTCAGTTTGGGAAGACGAAAAAGTTCAGGAGATGGATGGTGGTGATGGTTGCACATTGAGAATGTAATTAATGCCACTTAACCTTACACTTAAAATGATCAGAATAGTAAATTTTATGTTGGGCATATTTTAACTGCAATTTAAAATGCACCAGGCCAGTGCTAAGCTTGAATCCGGGGTTGGGCGCCTCGGCTGCAGCACCACGGACAGCTCCCAGTGCGCTCTCCTCGGGAGGGGCCGGGCTTTTCAAACAGCCCTCTGTCCAGAACGCCTTTCTCCCCTTTTCCATTCTTCCAACTCGTACTCAGTCCTCGGGATCTAACTCACATCATCACCACCCCGTGATATCTGCTTCAAAATGTCTCTAAACCAGCCCAGACTCCTTTTCCCATCTGTTTCTCATAATGGGAGTCCTATGAAAGTAAAGTCTTATTCGTGTTTCTGACCCCAGTGCCCAGCACTGGCCTGATCTGGATTTCCCACTCAGTTAACA